CAGATTCACAACCCTTTGGGTGAAGAAGTTCCTCCTGACCTCAGTCCTACATCTGCTTCCCTTTATTTTGAGGCGATGCCCTCTAGTCCTAGTTTCACCTGCTAGCGGAAACAACCTCCCTGCCTCCACCTTATCTATTCCCTTCATAATCTTATATGTTTCTATAAGATCTCCCCTCATTCTTCTGAATTCCAATAAGTATAATCCCAGTCTATTCAGTCTCTACTCATAATCCAACCCTCTCAACTCTGGAATCAACCAAGTGAATCTCCTCTGCAGCCCCTCCAGTGCTAGTATATCTCTTCTCAAGTAAGGAGACCAAAACTGCACACAGTACTCCAGGTGTGGCCTCACCAGGACCCTATACAGCTGCAGCATAGCCTCCCTGTTTTTAAACTCCATCCCCCCAGCAATGGCAGACAAAATTCCATTTGCCTTTTTAATTACCTGCTGCACCTGCAATCCTACTTTTAGCGATTCATGCACAAGGACACCCAAGTCCCTTTGCACAGCAGTGTGCTGCAATTTTTTACCATTTAAAACATAGTCCATTTTGCTGTTATTCCTACCAAAATGGATGACCTCACACTTATCAACATTGTACTCATCTGCCAGACCTTTGCCCACTCACTTAGACTATCTATATCCCTCTGCAGACTTTCAGTGTCTTCTGCACACTTTGCTCTACCACTCACCTTAGTGTCATCTGCAAATTTTGACACACCACACTTAGTCCCCAACTCTAAATCATTGATGTAAATTGTAAACAGTTGCGGTCCCAACACTGATCCCTGAGGCACACCCACTAGCCACTGACCGCCAACCAGAAAAACACCCATTTACTCCTACTCTTTGTTTTCTACTCGTCAACCAATCCTCTATCTATACCAATACATTACCCATAATACCGTGCAACTTTATTTAATGTAGCAGCCTTTGGTGTGGCACCTTGTCAAATGCCTTCTGGAAATCCAGATACACCACATCGCAGGTTCCCCATTGTTGACCATGCAAGTAATGTCCTCAAAGAATTCCACCAAATTAGTTAAACATGACCTACCCTTCATGAACCCATGCTGGGTGTTCCCAATGGGATAATTTATATCCAGATGTCTTGCTATTTCTTCCTTAATGATAGATTCAAGCATTTTCCCCATTACTGAAGTTAACTGGCCGATAGTTACCTGCTTTTTGTCTACTTCCTTTTTTAAACAGTGGCGTCACATTGGCTGTTTTCCAATCTGCGGGAACCACCCCAGAGTCCAATGAATTTTGGTAAATAATTGCTAGTGCATTTGCTATTTCCCCCATCGCCTCTTTTAGTACCCTGGGATGCATTTCATCAGGACCAAGAGACTTGTCTACCTTTAGCCCCATTAGTTTGCCCCACACTGCCTCCTTAGTGATAATGATAGTTTCTAGGTCCTCACCTGCTATAACCTTCTTGCCATTAGTTTTCGGCATGTTATTTATATCTTCCACTGTGAAGACCGACACGAAATAACTGTTTAGTGTCTCGGCTATTTCCTCATTCCCAGTTATTAAATTGGCCTTCTCATCCGCTAAAGGACCAATGTTTACCTTCGCCACTCTTTTACGATTTACATATTTATAGAAACTTTTGCTGCCTGCTTTTATATTCTAAGCTAGTTTACTCTCATAATCTATCTTACTTTTCTTTATAACTTTTTCTGTGGCTTTCTGTTGGCCTTTAAAAATTTCCCAGTCTACTAGTTTCCCACTACTCTTTGCTTTTTTGTATGTGTTTTTTTTTCAATCTGATACTTTCCTTTATTTCCTTAGACATCCATGGCTGACTCTCTCTTTTCCTACAATTCTTCCTTATCACTGGAATATACTTCTGCTGAGCACTGTGAAAAATCATTTTGAAAGTCCTCCACTGTTCCTCAATTGACCCACCATAAAGTTTTTGCTCCCATTCTACCCTAGCTAACTCCTCCCTCATTCCTTCATAGTCTCCTTTGTTTAAGCACAGGACACAGGTACTGGATTTAACCTTCTCACACTCCATCTGTATTTTAAATTCGACCATACTGTGATCGCTCCTTCCGAGAGGATCCCTAACTGTGAGATCATTAATTATTCCTGTCTCATTACACAGGACTAGATCTAGGATAGCTTGCTCCCTCGTAGGTTCCATTACATATTGTTCAAGGAAATTATCGCGGATGCATTCTATGAACCCCTCCTCAAGGCTGCCATGATCGACCTGGTTTGACCAATTGATATGTAGATTAAAATCCCCCATGATAATTGCTGTACCATTTTTACATGCATTAGCTATTTCCATGTTTATTGCTCGCCCCACCATGATGTCGTTATTTGGTGGCCTATAGACCACACCTATCAGTGACTTCTTCTCCCTGCTATTCCTAATTTCCACCCAAATGGATTCAACGTTTTGTTCAGTAGAACCTATATCATCTCTCACAACCGACCTGATATCATCCTTAAAAATCAAAGCAACACCATCTCCCTTACCTTCCTGTCTGTCCTTCCGAACAGTTTGATACCCCTGGATATTTAACTCCCAGTCATGACCATCCTGTAACCATGTCTCTGTAATGGCCACTAAATCATACCCATTTGCCATGATTTGCACCGTCAACTCATCCACCTTGCACCATCAACTCATCCACCTTTGTGAGTCATGTTTTGTGGCCAAAAGTGTTTCACAAACTGGTAGCTCAGTCTCTGGTACATCGATGACATCATCGGTGCTGCTTCATTCTCTTAGAGTGACAGAGCATGGAAACAGACCCTTCGGTTCAGGTCATCTGCGCCAATCATATAACCCAATCTGAACTAGTCCCATTTACCAACATTTGGCCCTATTCTTCTAAATACTTCCTATTCATCTACCCATCCAGCTGCCTTTTAAATGTCATACTTGTACCCACCTCCACCACATTCCATACATGCACCACCCTCTGCGTGAAAAAGTTACCCCTCAGGTTCTTTGTACATCTTTCCTCTCTCATCTTAAACCTATGTCCCCTAGTTTTGGACTACCCCACCCTAGGTAAAAGACCTTGGCTATTTACACTATCCTTATCCCTCATGATTTTATAAACCTCTATAAGGTCACCCCTCATCCTCCAATGCTCCAGGGAAAAAAGCCCCAAACCCTCCAGTCCCAGCAACATCCCTGTAAATCTTGTCTGGAATTGGAAAAATTTATCAGTTTTGCTTCCAACTTAGAATCTGTTCTCACCTTCATCTGATCCATCTCTGACTTCTCGCTTCCTCAACATTTTTGTTTCCATTTATGGGGATAGGCTGGTCTCCAATTTGTGTAAGCTCAGTGCAAGCTGCAAGAACAGCATCTCATTTTCCACTTGCGACTCTGCAGCCTTCAGGGCTCAATATCAAATTTAATAATTTTAGGCCTGAGCACTTTCTTCCAAGTCCTTTTGACACACCCATGCATTAGGCCTTGTCATCACTTGGGCTGCATTTACCATAGCCAACCCATATTCATGCACTAATGGTGCCTTAGCAGGCATTTTTTTCTCCCCAGTTCAACGTTATCCATTCCTTTGTCTGCCCAACTGGTACTCTCTCGCTCTGGGCTTCATCTCCACTTATTATTTACTCCATCCTCTCCCCAACGTCATCTTCAGCATCTATACCAACATTTTCCTAACTCACACGAAAACAGGTTGCAGCCTAAATAGTTTATTCAAAAATCACAAGCTTTCAGAGCAGTGCTCCTTCTTCAGATGAAGTGGAGGGAATATAAGTGGAGGCGCCTATAGATTCTGTGCCTGTGCACTTCCGTCCACTTCACCTGACAAAGAAGCAATGCTCCAAAAGCTTCTGATTTCAAATAAACATGTTGGACTATAACCTGGTGTATGACTTCTAATTTTGTCCACCCCAGCCCAACACCAGCACCTCCACAACATTTTCCTAGCTACCATCAGTTCTGAAGAAGGGCCACTGGCCCCAAAGTGTTGATTGTGTTTTCTCTCTGCAAATGCTGACAGACCTGCTGAGTTACTTCATCTTTTTCTGTTTTTGTTTCAGATTTTCAGCATCCACAGTTTTTGTTTTTTTTGTCATACCAATGTGCTTTTGTTGGATTTATCCTGACAGCGGTACAGGACATATTCAGGGTTGGTGATGGCATTGTCTGAAATGTTGTCTGTAAGGTATGATGCTGTGAAGATGACAATGTTTTTCTAGTGTGTGAGATAGTTATCTGAATTTTGACAGCAGCCTCCAGATGTGGGTCAGAAGGGCTTTGCAAGGTCCACAGAGCTGAAGATGCAAATATTGTATCCAGTGTCTAGTTCGATACCATGCTATCTGTCTGATTTAATTCCTCTTTTGGAGGCACCTTAGCCAATTTATACAACTGAGTGATTTGCTAGACCATTTCAGGGGACTGCACGTGTCGCAAAATTGTGAAACAAGCTACATAAAGGCAAGTTATTTGTTTTAGATCCATATGTCGAGTAAAATGAATTGTCAGAAGTTGCTGG